CTCACGTGATTGGTCAGATTTTCAAATATCGAAGAGTGGGAGAGACGCTATGATATTTGTAACGACTAAACCCAGTTCCGCATATGTCTTCACCGTGGAAACTCCCGTATACTCGCGGTTAATATTACATTACGCATTTCTTGCACGTGGTCTCTTTACCAGTGTTTTATAACATACCCTCGTTACCGCTCTATTCAGCGTCCGTCTGACAAAGTATTTTTTCATCTAGTTTACCGTATTATTCTCAATTTAAATACCTCAAGACACAATTTTTTTACAAGCTATTTCTCACTTTTCATGTCTAATTTCAAGTTATTTCGAGAAACATCAAGCTCCACTTTAAAGTATTAAATCATTTTTACTTTGCATTTCAATTTGTAATTTAAGATTTATTATTTTTGTGCAAGGTATAAAGAAGATTGCTAAGTGTAAATTATTTTTATTTTTAATTTAAATATCACATGAAGAAAGTAATAAAATCTCAAGACGAAGTGATTTTTATTTTAATACAAGAGAATAGCGTTTTTACTCTCTAATGCTTAACACAATTATCTACATCAACTCTGCACATCATCAACTCTACATGACCAACATCCTCTCATCGTCCCCTACAGAAGGCGCCTTCTTCCCCCAGCAGTGAGGCCCTAATTCCCCTATGCTGCCATCTCTCTCATCGACAGGATCTTCACACCTCTACGGCTGCGGTTCTTCAGCTTCAATTACTCCCCCGCACTCAGTAAAATTGGAAATTAGGTACTCTCAGCGTTTCATTTTGCTATTTTATTCCTATCACAAGTGTGCTTTAAATGTTTGTTTCCATTACAAGATTTTCAGCTCTTAAAATCTTTGAAAAATCCTAATTCCGGCATTTATGCTGTAAGTCAAGCGCTGTACAGTTAACATAGCCCGCACCTTGCGTCACTATTCAAAATTTAAGATGGCCTCTGCTCTTATAACTTGGAAGTAAGCAAAGTACCGTTCAGTATTGATACAACCTTACGTATTGCCATTTATAATTTTTCATGTAAAAGATTTCCTGTAAATAGTTAAATTGAATAAACAATATTTGATCAAAAGATCAATTATTTTCTGGAGTGGTCTTACAACGTAAAATCACACAAATGTTTTTATTTTGTTTTCAAAGAAGTAAAGTTCAAAAGTATTGATATCACTATCACAGTAACTTGTCATTATGTATACTGTTGTAAATCACCAGATGTAGGTATTAGTAGACTCCTCATCCCATTGTAAATTTTGAAGCTTGTTTTTCATGTCTAGTTCATGTACGTCCACACTGATCGCTGGGGTAGACCACATTTTGTTTCTATTATTTTAGGGTTATTTTCATGATTTGTGCTTTACTATTTGGTTATATACCTAGGGGAACAGTTATTCTTTGTGATTAAATCGTTTTATATGATTAAATGAGGTTTTAAATGACTGAAATAACAAGAAACAAATTGTAAACAAAACATAACCTCTACAGTTGGACGTACAGAACAAACAATAAAATTGGCTTCAGCTGTTCCATAAGGATGACAAATCTAATGATTTATCTATGGTATTAGCCACGATACCTGTGCCTCGCAACAGGAAGAAAGTGCTAAAGAGAATTATTATTATGTTCTATCGACATGCTGTATTAAATAATTTTTAACCCTGAAAAGTCCACAACGGCTCCCCCTTCGGTCTGGTCGAAAAACTGAGAGACCATATTGACCTTTATTTTAAACGATCTACAACTTTGTAATTTAACATTGTTTTCCATCTTCACCCCTTCACCCTCAAACTCAGGCTTGAACATGATATTTTACCTTATTTTTCCTGTTTTTGGTGTGTTTAAACTGCCCCGGATTTGGTTAAAAAACAATTTGGACATAATTGGCTTTATAGTTCTCTTAAGACGTGTCCAAAGTTACTTTTAAGCGTAATTGAGGATTTTTAAACACCGTACATATCCCTGATATTGGGGGGTATGATTTTAGTAAAAATCTAAAATTTAGATTTGTTTCGATTACCGCCAATTTAAAAGTACACAAACGTTATTACGCGGTACAGTGTATTCCAACGTTATTTTCTTTTCTGACAAAAACCTGCTGGAACTCAGTAATGTACTTTACCTCTTTATCACACCCAAGATGAAATTTTGTTACCATTATGAGCAGATACTATTTATTCACAAAGCTTTAAATTGTCAAAAACTTCGTCTTAAATTGTCACTAAATCATCCTCTGTGAAATGAGAGTAGTTATCCGGAGATGATACATTGTACCTCATGACATTATGTGTTGGACTTTTAAATGGACCGCAAACATCAATAGAAACAACGTTAAGCATTCTTTTCAGTGTTCTTGCGGTTGGTAAAGAAGAAAATGTAATTCGACTTTGTTTTACCCTTAAGACACACATCATTAAAAACTGACGAATGCCCCATTAGCCTGTGCCTCGTAATTCATTTTGCACTATGCGATTGGGCTTCTATTGCGACCCATGTACAAATTCCCATTGATTAGACCCGTTAAAATTACATATCCGCCTGTATTTTTTAATACAAACTTTATCTTTCGAAAATACAACTTGTGACCCTTTTGCTCAATCTTGTGAACCGATATTTTGCTGTATCATATGCATTATAAATGAGAGAGTATAAGACTAATCGTACAAAATGTTACACTTCCCAACTATAAAAAATGAATTATTAATTAAAATTGAACCAAGAGAGTAATTGTATTGTAATACTGGTGCTGAAAAATCCATTCCAAATAAAAAGTACTACAATATTGTAATTTTATCTTAATTAATTCAAATTTAAGTAATTCATCATAAACCAGGTATTGCCGTATAGCGAAATTGTATTTCGAGGTGTAACGCAGCACTAAAATTAAAATCAATACCCTTCGTATTTTTGTCCTTGTATTTCTTTAAGGTTGAAAAACTATAAAACTGATACTGTATCAGTAATTTAATATGTTATGAGTGATGTATTTGACGTGATAACTTAACAGCGCCATGTTCACACACTTGTTGGCTGTAATTACAAGGCTGTCAACATTAATATACGTTCATGTCAGAAAAAGCGTTTATATAATCAATTTACCACGTAAGTACGAGTGGTTTACGTAGTATGCTTTCAACATGAGGTTGGATACGATCATAGTTTTTGTCTCTTTGGTGAGTACCCAAGTAGCACAAACTGTTAGCAAACTGTTGGCCCTACGTTTCTGTCCATGGTTGGCCAACAGTATGTTTTGGCACTAAATCTTACGGTTAGCCAACCAGTTTTTAACATAGGGCCAACCATCACATAGGAATATCCTACATAAAAACAAAAATAATAAAGATTTAGTACGAAAAGCATATTTATCAGTTAAGCATTTTGATTAAATAGTTCATAAAAGCAAATTTTTCAAAAAAAAAAAAAACTAAGGGAAATATCTTTTCCGGATGCGTCTTGAACCTATTACCTTACCTCTGAGCTATCTGTGCTCGTTTATATTTCATGTTTTAAAGCGGTCAAAGAGGAGCCGACTGTTGCAATGGTCGCAATACTTAAGTGAATTTTCATTTGCTTGATTTAATTTTAAATTAAATCCATTCAAATTACAGTACCTGGGGAACTTTGGTATTCTAACTTTGGGAACTGATTTGCTCGGGAAACTTTATCACTATACTCTGAGAGTATTCTTTGGTCTATGTAAATCTATCCCAAAAATATTATTTTGCGGTCTATCTTTTCTTGACATCTATTTAACTTCTATTAAAATAAAAATATCATAGTTTACTGAAATGATAAGAAAGAATTTGTTTGGTTCCCCTAAACGGCCCAAACTATAGAAAATACCCAGTATTTTCACGCTGAATTCGAAAAAGGCTATCAGCATTAAGAAAATCTTCTCACCGTCCTTCCTTTGAAGTATTAGTCACTGCAAGAACTTGGGCTCGCTACGAAACTACAACCGGAACCTTAAATTTACCCTTAATTTTTAAAATGAAATAAGTTAAAATTTTACGGAATCTCAGGACTCTTTCCGACTGAAAACGATTTTTTGATTTAGCAAGAACTCAGTAAAGAGACACATTATAATCCAATTTTTATTAGGTTTGGTAATATTTACCTTTTTCTATGAACAATATTTACAAGCGAATGTTGGTTAACTTAGGTGTTGGCTACTTTAAGACCAAAATTAATCTCTTGACATTTTATAAATCATCATCTAATGTAGGCCTACACTAAAGTATGTACAATGCTGAAGTATATGGATGCATTAGAGATCAGCTACATTCTGTGAACTGTCAAGAGCATCCGCTACCTCAGATACAAAGCTAAAAATGGCATCTACAGTGTTTTTACCTTTCACTAATCCATAATGATGTATGTTAAAAAGTTGACAATTGTTAAAGTTATCATACAACATATTAAAAACAATATTTTCAAAATTTTTTGAGAATGCCCGCAGTAATGAAATTGGTCTTTAATTAGCTAAATCGTTTTTATCCCCTTCTTTATAACTGGTATTACGTTTAAGAGCTTCAATTGATCAGGGAACATACCTGTATAAAGAGAAGTGTTAATTAAATGAACAAGAGGTGTTAAGATTAAATATGAGCATTGTTTTCAGATAAAAGATGATATTTCGTCCCATCCAGACGATGTAGAAGGTTTTAAATCATTAATTATTTGCTGAACTTCTTGAGATTCTGTCGTTTTAAATTATATTAACATCGATTCAGGATAAGTATTCGTTTTTTTTAAGGCGGTTTTAGTCTTATTTGAAGATGTTTAAATTTATGTCGTGACCATGAAAGGTAGTTTAATGCAAGTAGATTTTCGATATTGCCAACATTATAGTTCGGCCGCTTAGAGATATCATTGGTTAGCATTAGCGCGTAGGTCGCTAGATAGCGACCCTAGATAGCACTAGATAGCTAGATAGCACTTAGATAAGTGGACGAACTATAGTTGTATGCTATTTGTTAATGTATGTTGCTTTCAGCTTCTGGCCTGTTCTTTCCTTCCTTGGAGTGAAGCTGGTCCCATTAAATGGTTGAAAAGATTGGGAGGAAGAAAAAAACATGAAGGTAGGGCAATTAAATGAATACGTATTTTGAACATTGTAAAACTTAAATTTATCAGAATATTAGCAAGTTGTGTATTGAGAGCACAAAGTACGTCATTGCCGCTCAAGAACTGTAGCTAGATGGCACAAAACTTTAGCTGAGTCTGGCCATACATATCGAGAGATAATGACTGTTTGAAGTAGTGATGTATACGGGGGTCGCCGGAATTTTATCCCCCAGGAATTTTGCCCCCTGGGCAAAGCTGACGTCTCTATAACGTAGTAACTTGAGCGCTATAAAGTTTGTTCGATGGCGGAATTTTACCCCCGCGGATTTTGAAGTATAATGAAAATAGACAGAGCGTGACAAATTAGATTAGCAATAAAACCGGAATTTTAACCCCCTGTCCATATAACCAGCATTTAGGCAACTGAAGATGTACGGCCCGGATTTTTACCCCCTAAATTTTACCCCCTGGCCATATATAGAAATTATTGAGAATGATTAATTTTCTTCTTTCAGTTTGAATTGAATAATAAACATTTTACTATTAAGTAGCCTATCTTAGTTTATTTGTAATCTCAACTAAGTCAACAGGTTTTACTGTTTAATTTTGATATACGGGTTTTGGGTTTGGGGCCAACTGTTGGATATGTGTGTAAATACATATCAACCAACAGTTAGTCCCAAAAATCGAATCCCGAAACTTAAGTATTAAAAATGAGATTCAAAACCTATTTGATTAATTAAGGTTACAAATAAGTTAAGAAATCTACTTAATAAAATGTTTTCTAATAACTTAAATTAAAACTAAAAGAATAACATTAATCATTTTCGCTTATTTCTACATTTGACCAGGGGGTAAAATTTCGGGGGTAAAAGTCCGGGGGGTAAAAATTTTGGAGTAAAATTCCGGCCCGTACACTCTAGGTTTTTATAATTTCATGTGTTCTGATTAAATTTACAACCGTGTTTAATTCCACCTTTAATCCATCAAACTGATGTTGTGTAACTCAAACTCTGGCGGCCGGAATATTAACTCCTGGTTTTTGACGTCAGTTTTGCCCATGGGGTAAAATTCCAGGGAGATAAAAATCCACTACCCCTGTACGGGTACTGGTGCCTCAGGTACAAGCTACCCTGTGTATTATTGTTAACAATCCTTGACCCCTGACCCACTGACCTCCAGCAATCAGCCGATAGCGGTAATCAAACGTTTAACCCCAACTGACTAATTCCAATTCTTTGAAATATGGCACTGTACTAAACAATACAATTAAGAGTCAGATGGCAAGAAATAACAGTACGGTATCTTTCAAAACGTCAAATAAACTGGGCAATATTTTAAGAAAAATCCAGAGACCGATGCAAATGAAAATAACATGAACAGCACATGTATTTATAAATTAAACTGTAGTGATTGCCATAGTTATTATATCGGCCAAACAGCAAGATCATTTAATGTCAGATTCAAAGCACATTTGCCAGACAAAGCCATTACTAAACATACATCCTCATACGCCAATCATCTCATTAACAATAGACATAGTTACTCAAAAATAGCTGGCAACCTTGAAATTTTGCACAAATGTAAAAGCGGTTGTTTTATGGACACGATGGAATGGTATGACATTTACAAGGCCGTGAAAAAAGAACCACACAATGTTCTCAATTAACAAAGAGGTTTTAAATCCAATATCATTTACTAATCGGCAATAAGAATAGGCGAGTCGCATGGTCACAACGAAAACAAGGATAACTCGTGATAAGGAAGGGGGGGGGGGAGGAAATTCACTTCAAGATAATGCCTCAGTCTAGACCTGCCCTCCGTGCGTATCGTGTTTCCCGGTACTGGCGTTTTTGTAGTGTTTGTTTATTGTTCGTCTTTTCGTCTGTGTGTAATTCAATGTGTCACATCGATGGATTTTAACTTCAACGACTTCTTCTGGAACGAAATTTGATGTACTTGAACCGGATGAGGTTTCCATCGGGAACGTAACTGCAGTAGCTTATAGACTACAAAGGATCACTTTGACAGTATAAGGTATTTAAACCTATACTTATTACTATACCAGTGATCCGGAGGCTAACAACATGAAGTCATGTGTTCAAATGTAAACAAATCTTTTCTCCAAAAGGATAACATGCGAACCTTAGAGGCCACTGGGGCAGAGCCCTGATGGAATTTCTTAAAAACGCTTCTTATTGCACTCATAGAGCCTAATTAAAATCTCCATACCAATTCTTGAGTTCTTATGGTTAGAAGTAAGTATAGATATAGGAGATATGTGAGATATTACATCAACATACTAATAGCTATTTACATTACAAGTGTAGTAAGAGCGTTTTTACATCACGAAGGTGAATGTTGTGCAACGAGCGAAGGCGAGTTGCATAATTCACCGAAGTGATGTAAACACGCTCTTGCGTAACGTGTAACGTACAAGATTTTACCTGACCCGACAATATTCAGGAGGTTACGAGCAATATGCTTCATTATCAATTTCACTCATCTTCTAACAGTACCGTTTATTTACAAACAAAAGCTAGGTTAGGAAAATTCTTCAAAGCATAACAATAAAATTCAAACACACAGCTGATTTCTAGCGTTGAACGTCGTTGGCTCCATAGAGGTATATTTTATTAGTTATCCACTCAATGTTATTTAAATGGGTTTCATTACATCACCGAGTGAGTTTTTTTCAACTTTACATCACTCGAGAAGTAAGGAAGTTGTATACATCACGCTTGGGATAGGGAAGTTTAACATGGCGGGTTAGGTAAAAGGACAAACACTACTGTTGGCAGTAAGCATTTTCATAAAAATAAATAATATAATATTCAATAAAATGTTTTTCATTGTTAAGTATTTTGATTGAATTTACAGAAAACCCTACTTATTCATCATTATGTAACCGAAAAGTAAGTAATTTACTCAAAAAATGCAGTTTATAACAGATAGTATTCGCTTTCATTTTATTTTTTTATGTCTCACCTTCACATCTTAGAACGTTAGTTCTAGGCCAGAACTGATTTACACATTACTTCAGGCTAGTCCTAGAAGGTTGCGGCATTATCACATCGATTAAATCTATTGTTGATTGGCGAGATTTGAACCTGGGACCTCAGGGACCGAAGCCCCACGTTCTATTACTAGACCAGCTCAATCCCCTATTTTTGCAGGGATATTTGGTTTCATTTTAATATTGCTTTTTTGTTTTCAGAGATTCGATACCTCCCTACTCCCAATGGAGGTAAGATACTCGTATTTTTTTAAGTATTCTAAAATAATAAGCATCGTATTATTGGGTTTCTCTAAATTTACATGTTTTGTTGTATGTACTTTGTGCTAAATTGCATAACAAAATGTAAAAATGTTTGAAAAAAATTGCTTAAATTTATAATTACAAATACTCTGCTTATAAGTAGGACATTTTGTAACAAATCCTACATTAATTCATGCAAGTTATGATAGAAATTCTTATTATTGTCTTTATGTATGTTTTCATTCTAAGATGATTATTTTGTTTTTAGGCGCTGGATTTTTCCACGACCCTTATTTCAATGATGGTAAGAACTTACACAATATTATACTGAAATAACATACAGCTTATTAGCGAATTTCCCTATAGGGAAGTAGCTATTACCGTAGGTCTCATGGTAAGACCTAAGCCCGGGACCGATTTACTTTTTCATTTTGATGTCCCCAGAGGCCAAAAACACCATTCGTTCAAATTTTTATATATCTATATATAGATATATATATATATATATATATGTATATATATATATATATGTGTGTCCATCCGCACGATAACTTGAGTAATTTTTGTCCGATTTTGATAAAATTTGGTTTGAAGGTGTAAGGCAAGATAAACTTGAACGAGTTCGCAAACCAGCATGATCGGACAATGGGAACAGGGGTTTATGGGGGGTTTTATGGGGTAAAAATAGGTTTTTCCCATTTTTGACCCTAAAAACACAAAATTTCACAATTTCTTTTTAAACCATTTTGTAGAGCTTAAAAAAACAAATAATTTAGTATATTGAAGCGTTATTATGCGCCTAATTGTTACGGAGAAAATTCCAAAAAATTGTAATTTTAAAATTCCCATGTAATTCTTATGGAGAATAAGTCAACTGTTGTAGTTTGCTTGTTTATGAACATATTTTGATCAAATTTGGAAAATACATTGATTTCTTACTAAACCACAGTACCTTTTAACATTTTACATTAAAAAAACTTTTTTACCCTCCCTGTTGCAGCAAACCTAAGTACTCATTAAACTAATTCTGTTTGAATAGGGAATAAATGTGATATTTTTAAGGAGACATTTTAGTTTAAATCCAATCAGGCAAATGGAAATTCGCTAAGTCTGCAGGTTTGCTGCGGCGGGGGTATTTTTTTTTACATATTCTCCTATTTATGTAAACTTAAAATGAATGTCGTTGCAAAAATTCTTGTTTGAACAAATTCGAATATATGTACACGTTCAAAATGAAAATTACTTCCTTACCATTAAGGAAACCAATTCATTATGTCTAAGGGAAATAATTGTATTCACTATATTCAATTGGTACTATGGAGCACATTCGAGACTAAATAGCTCAGCTTATTTTTCATACACATGCTTTTATTCTACCTCAAGAGTAGTTAAATAAAGTGTGTAATACTGTAGTTGGTTTTTTGTCATTAAGTTTGTTTTCTTCTCAGATTTTGTGTTTATACATAGAACTTTAAGTGCATAACCAAATCGATTTCAATAGATATCATACTTCTCACAAAGAATTGATCAACCTTTCAATAAAAATAAATAACATATTTTTTTAGAGAATCTATGCTCAGAGCTTTTTATTTTCTTACTTTTAAAGTTGTTTTTTTTATTTACAATAATAAATAGTATTTTCTGTTGATGATAATAATAATATGAATGATAAATAATATTCTGCAAATCAGTTAAAATGTATAACGTAATAATTTTAGTATATAACATTTGACTATATTTTTTTTTCTTAGGACAAAGACCAGGAGGTGGCTAATCTTGCCATATCTGAAGTCAAGCAAAGGATCGTGGGTTTCTTGTGCCTTAAAACCAATGAGTGCTAAAAAACACAATAAAAACATTTGAATATCAATATGAACTTAATTTTAAAACCATGCTTCTCCTTAAGGTTTAAAAATCCATGCAAAAACACTAAATACTAATGGCACAATTTTAGAAAAAAATACGTATTAGGTCTTAACTGGTTTTTTGCAATTCTCTAAAGTTTGCAATTAAAAAAACACACTGTACAGGGGTTATTTACTATTTTAAACTCTCTTTTTAAGTCTTTCACGATCTGTTCGAGCATATTAAGGATCTATTAAGAGGGTTCCCTACCCCCGCCGAAAAACGTCAGAAAACCGCTTCGCGCGGTATCATATAGCGATTCTAGTTTTAACATTTAAATTGTGAACCAAACACCATTTTGTATATAAAGAGTGGTTCTACTAAGTTTGCTTTTTAAAAAATGTCTAAGCTTACGCAATCAAGGGCAACGACTTGTCAAAGTTAGTGAACTTTACAGTTAAATAATAATATCTTTTTATGAAATTATCGATTTTTAATAAAGCAATATTAGTGCGAAATTTAACTAAAAATATCAAGTCACTTTTAGTTTCAAGAAAAGATTATTTTTTGTATGTGCAAAATGAAACCGCGTAAAACCTTGCACGGCGAAAAGTGCTATGATTCTGACGGACTCTAGCGGCCTTTATCGAAACTACTGTCTCGCGGAGGGATACAAATTTTACACATTCTTCATCATTCATAATATTTCTGCTGGGGCGGGTTTACTAGGATGGGCCTACTTCCACTGCGGAGGCGTCCTGGCGGTGACACGACCAGCAGACAGCAATCCTAGGGAATATTTTGTAGTCTTGTAGTTCCAACTAAACTCACCAGGGTCGCAGAAAATTGAAAACAGTTCGAGGTAGGGAACCCCCTTAATGCAACCAGCCCACCTTTTACATCAAGTGCATCAAGTTCTAAGGCTTCTTTATTTACTCAATCTTAATTGACAAACATACATCTGGCAAAGTTAGATATCTGGTTGGAAGGTTTGGCTGGCCTGCCATCAGTTTCCCACTAATGGCGTTGCCTAAATTTATGCCCTGACTGAGTGACTGCTTGGACATTTCTTTTAATATCAGTATTTATCTCTGAATCTATTTTTGATTAACGATCATCAATCTTTCTTCAGCGTTTTACTGCCAAAGCCTTACAACGGTTTGAGCATATCTAACAGTTAATTGTTCGTAGTAGCAACCATAATTCTGTTTTTGGGTGAACGTTATTTGATAAACCAATTTGTGTTAAATCTGCCTTTGGTTGTCATTATGTACATACACAGTCACAAATTCAGTATCATTTTATTTGAAGTTCTCTTTACGTAGACGTTCAAATCTTCTATTGTACAAACATTAAAAGAGTGAATTGTTATAGAGTCCCAGAATATAATGTCGTCAATCACCAATGGATTTTTTGTAAGTCATAATGTCGCAAGCCTCTAGAACAAGCCTGAAGTGATGTCTATACCAGTTCTAATATAGAGCCTACCTCCTAGAATGTGAAGGTGGGAGAAAAAACAGTTATACAGAAATTTGACAATCTAAGATTTACAAAAGATAAAAAAATCTAGTTATAGCGAAAATGATAAAAGAGGGAAGGAAGGCTGCTGCTTTTGAATCAATGGAACTTTTAAAACCATTATCACCTGAATATGCTACCTCATATATACGTATCATCTAGGCATGTTAAGTTGTTTGTATCCATTTGTTTATTGACGTGTGAATAAATTATACTGAACGTCAATTTAATTAATATGTTATATTAAAATAGTACTCACTTTAAATTTTACAAAGGTATATTACACACAAACTATGAGATTTTCAAATTATACTTTAATAAATTGTTTAATTTTTTGCAAATAGTTGATTATCAGTTTATTTGTTTCGTGGGAACCAAAGACGATCCATTACTTTGAAGAAGTGTTTAGAAAACATAATACCTATGGTTTTGAATTTAGTTAGAAGGTATAGTATTCCTAGATTCCAAGATTTATCGTTGTTATCACTTTTAGGATTGTACTTTATTCATTGTTATTAATTAATCATTTTATTCATTCGTTGTTTGATATATATATATATATATACTAGGTGAAACCCGTCGAAATACTTTCAAGGCTTGCGCTAATTCATCTAGTGCAATAAATTGAGTGTTAGCATTGTTTAAAGAGTAATAAGTGTAAAAACAGTAAAGAAATTAATTGCGTTAGTTACCAAATATGGTTGGTATCATTCAATGAATAAAATATTTCCCATACCGTACGTCATCGGAGTTATTATTAGTATGTTATCTGGTATCTCTTCCTTTGGAAGAACCATTTAATAGTGTTAAAATCGTATTGATGGATCTTCTGTAGTTAAACAATTCTGCGATTTCATCAGTGTAATGCAGATTAATCTATGATTTTATTTGAAAAAAAAAATCTGTTTGTTGGGAAGACACGTTCTAACTTCAAAGGGAGGTATATCCGTTACAGTGTAAGTTTGATTTTTCCTTTGTCACGTCACGTCAGTTCACATCGCACTTCTGTGCCAATGAGTAACCCTCTAGCACAGTTTTGAGAAATTGGTTGTGGGGTTACTGTTAAAGCTGAAATACCTTGACACGGGGGATGTCAGTTAGTTGTCTCAGCATTATCGATTACATAAAGTTGTCAATATAATCTCTCTACTGTATGTTAGGTGTAGTGGAATATACTTGAAGTGAAATTGGGTTTTATTCTTGAACTATTAGTGGCCTCCTCGTTTATATGGTCGTGCGGCTTCATTGGCAACAAATAATTCAAAAGACAGAAGAATGTGGAATTTCTAAAAAGCAAAAAAATACTGTAAATTGGCTGTTACGTAAATATTGACGTTTACATGCATTGTTAATAAACGTATCTTATAAAGGATGGTGTGATCTAGTTTAAAAGGAATATGACCTTTCTGTCATGACAGTAGCTGCTTAAATAGTATTTACTCATTGGGCCATTTTTACAGCCAAAAAATGGTGGAAAGGGCAGACACCAACCCGTAAAATATATATAAGACAGCCCAATAAGAAATAATTGTTAGAGTTACTGTGATTAAAGGATTTTCCACTGATTTCGTAATGGAACGTTACATTGCAAAACATGTCATGATACGGAAGAAAATCAATTTTAAAATCAGAAAATAACATTGCAAATACTTCTTATGGACAATTCAGTAACTCCCAATAAATGTGTGTTGTTTGAAATACAATTTAAAAATCAACAGCTGTTTCATTAAAAAGTATTATCCACATGACCAAAATGTAAACAAATATGTAGAGGGATCTTTAAAGGCTTCTGGGGCAGAGCCCTAAGGGAACTTACTTCGTTTTGCTTTTGATAACTCATCTACAGACCAAGACCTTTCTTTGGACACCTCAACCAAGTTTCTACGCCCAGCCGTTCTCTCAAATTAGTGGAGACAAAGTTTCCAAATAAATATTTAGATTCCCCCATGTTAATCTTATGGGAGAAAATCCAACTTTGATGGAAGATCCTGCCCAAACTAATAAAGATATCAAAAAACTAAAAACACTTTGCAAAACTACAGACCAGGGCAATTATTTTGACACTTTAATCATCAAAATCGGTCCAAAAATGAGGGAGGAGTTCTTTTTACAAAAATCGGCTTAGCTTATTATATATATAGATATAGATTTTATAAATAAATCACCCAAGTTTCACCTTAGTCTATATATTACATCATATATATATATATATTGTCGTATGTATTGTATTCAATCTTGACCTTTGCTGTACAATGTAAATATTGTCTGAAAGCAATAAAGAATTATTATTATTATTATTATTATAGTAAAACAACAATATATCGTAAATTACTGCCTGGAAGCGTTTCTTGATAGCCATTTAGTCTTTTTCACATGAAACTGTCCAAGAAGCTATTAATTATTTGGTCGGGTTTTGTTTAATTGTCTTTTGTTCTCCACCATCCATGCAAACTCTTTGTTTTCTCTATCGTGGAAAACAATACGTTGTCAGTAAACAAGTTCCACATTAAATTGTTTATTATTTTGTCTTCATAGTGAATATCAGTTATAAAATAACTACAGCATATGCTTATTGTATATAATTCACGTTAAAATGGATGAATTAATGAATAAGTGCTTTATTGTTAATTTAAGTTTGATTTTAAATTTTCAAATACCACACAGGATATCTGCCAAACAAAACACTTAAGGAATTAGCCAAATAAAGGCCATCGGCACGGTTGGCCACACAATTTATGTAAAATATCAACCATAGTTACACTCATGAAATGATTATAAATACAACAGATAATAAAAAAACTATAATTATTGAGAAAAATAACAAAAAGCGACTCAAACGACAAACAATTTAGCTCGATTTATTTAATAAAAGATAAGTTTGATTTTTAAGGAATACAAATTTTTCAGAAATCTGTAGGCACTTCAAAAGAGGGAAAGTTGTAAATTTAAACTTCTACTATTGCCCATCTGTATCATAATGCTACTGCAATGTTGCACATGTTGCAATGCACATTATACCACATTGCACGTTTGTAACTTAGTGCGTAATTCCTTTAACCTCGTATCGTTGCCATCGATATATAACTGTTATATATCGATGATCGTTGCTTGAGAACAATCCTCCCATAGTTTCAAGTCTAAAACATTTTTAGGAAACAAATAAAAAATAACAGGAAAAATGAACAACTTGTCAAGGAATATAGACTACTAAATATTAGAATAAATTTGTTTTAAAAATATGTTATAAACATGAGGTTTTTTAATTTGTAATTAAAATAAATAATACATTTTATTATAAATGTTTTTATTGTGAATAATTTTAAAATATTTATTTACCTTACCATTTTATGTTATGTCGATAAAATTATATGACTATAAATATTATGTCATGACTATTTCACATTCACATGCCTATGAGTAGAACACCGACTAAATAAATAATGCTACCTTTCATGGTTCGCAAGTATTACTTTTAAAGAAAACCTTTAAAAATACTATAACAAATTATTAGGATTTACAAAAATAACAGATTTCCATTTCATTTATTAAGTTTGAGACGAATAAAACTTTTTTTCTATTTAAAAAAATGACACATGTAGTGCCATGTAGTGCCACATTTCTCTAGGCCATGTAGTTAAAACTTAAGAGTACTCGTATGGCCTGTGAGTTTAAATATATATTTCATATAACTCAGAACAATTGCAATAATTTACGTTTATATTTTTCAACTGCAAGACGTCCAGGAAGCGTACGTGACTCATGAGGTGGTGAATATTTTAGGGAGTGTTGACCTTTCAGGATGTACAACTACATTTGGATCCTCTCTAGAGAAGTTTTACATAAAAATATATATATATATAAATAACAATTCATCATTAGTAGTTTAATCAATAATTTGTTTTATAATAAGGTTCTGATATTATTAGCTTAATTTATTAGCTGAGACTAACTGTTGTTATTTCCAACTATTAAAATTATACAGGGTTATTACAAATGATGTTCACGATTTCATACATACATAAAATATAGTTTTATTTGTTATACAAAGAAATAAAATGGTTACAACTGTTGAAAAACTCAAAAAGTTTCGACACAGATACACAGAACTGTAAATGCTCGATACGGGAACCCCTTGTGGTACGACAGATGTCAATAATGTAGTCAAGCTCTTGCTAGACTTTGAAAAGTGGGTCTAGGTCTATTTAGCATTGGTAATCCGTTGCTGGATCTCAAGTATCCTATCTGATAATGGTGGTGTGTACGCCTTATCTTCGATGTATCTCCACAAGAAAAAAATACAGGGGGTGATGTCCGGAGATCTTGTAGGCCAGTTCAGGGGTGTGTCATTATTCGGACCACCGAGCTCATTCCATATCTCAGGCATCACATTGTTAAGTTCAGCCCTACTACAAGTAACATTCAAATGCAGCCATTTCTCTTAAATTTCAAGTGTCACTTGCCAATATAGTGGTTACTAGGAGGATCATCGTTAAACCTGGTTCTAAAGTGTCGTTGCACACTAATAACAGATTGGTTAATGTAATATTCCAACTGGTAAAAAGCTTTCCTGCCTTTAAATTCAGCCATTACACAACACTTACAACAATTGACTTGACAAACAGCTGATATGCACCCAAACCAATGTAAATGAAACTCTATGAGTTTTTCTTTCCAATGGTACCAACTAAAATAGTCTTGAAACAAATTAACCCAGTAATATTTATAATCAAAATCAGGAACATCATTTGTAATAACCCTGTACTTTAGGTCATCCTAAATATTTTTTGGCCATAACGAGTGTACAGTAGTACACACAGGTACAAGTCTCTTTATAGCTTGTTCTTATTATGCACCATAATAAATCCAACTTTTGTGATAATTATGTACAGTATTTTTGAATTTTATTCTCTTTTTTAAATTATGGTTCATTTATCATGAGGTTATAATGTATTAAACTTACTTACTTACACCATTGAATATGTAGATATGTAATCTTTATGCATCAGCAAAACATGTCTTATCGTTAAATATTTAAAATAATTAATTACACCAAATATTAAATGATAATAGTATTATATATATGACCTAAAATTAGGGTGAAACATTTTAGTCGACATCAGCCCACTCAAATGTCGCCAACAAATACACTCAACTCATCAACAGGCTTCCAGCAGGACGAGAAGCTTAGTTCACTGTTTAGTGTTTAAATTGAATAGTAAAACTGTATGTTTCTAATATTTGATGAACATTAATTTGTAATAGGGTAATTAGTTAAACATATATTGTTTTCAATTGCATATTTAACTACTATTTATATAAGATCGATACTATTTTTGCTAACAAAATATTTATCCAATTTAGTCCACATTACACTCGCACCCACACAGGGCTTAGGCGCAGTATGTGATTTTATTAGTATAAGTCTACTTGCATTGCTTAAAGGCAATAAAACCTCATGTTAATAATAGGCTTATTATTTTGATCCCACAATTATTTCCATTCAATTAAAACAGCTGATTTAAAACTCTTGTTATCGTTCCAATTTATATGAAGCAATATTATTTTCTATGTCTATAATAGTATATTTCGTACCTAGGGCAGAAAATGAGGTTTTGCTGGCTTGAGATAGTTTTTAAGTTCGAGACGAAGTCGAGAACTTAAATCGATCTAGAGCTGCAAAACCATTTCGGTCCGTGGTACGAACTCTTCACTACACTATACCCTATTACCACTATTCACCACTATCATAATGCACACTGATAGTCAAAACAACTACAACTTTAAGGTTATGCGAAGAAATATTTTTGAGGAATCAGCAAAAATAATAAAAAGTTGCTAGGCAACGGTGACAATAAAATAATTCAATAGCAATGCTATGGATACTGATTGTGTATTTAATATGCATTCATGTTTTAAGTAAGTAAGCAGGCAGCTGATTTTGCGGCCCTAGGGATGTAAAAACCTGCTCGGTCCCCAAATAACGATGACAGCTGGCATGACCAGCAAAACGTAACTTTCAGCCACCAATTAACGTATGTAAAACCACTAAAAACATCATAGTGTGGTGAAAAAGAAATTAATTCAATTAATAAAGTGAATTTTCATACTGGTACGAAAACCAACTCGTTAATTGTATACAATGTGCCACGAAAACGTAACGGGCAATTCAGAACCAGATACTACATACCAAAATAGGTGTAAAATATCCGATACTTTTTCATTTTACATTACGCTTCTCTGTTTTTTATAACTTTCCTAAAATAAGAAACTTGGTATAAACTGTAAATATCTTTTACAATAATAAAATTCTCTAACAATAGGCTATTTAAATTAAACCTTAATGTTGTCTTAAGTAATGCAGTCAAAAACAATTTTAAAGTCCAATTACATCAGAACGTTATTTAAGTTAAAATAAAAAAAATAAAAAAAAATTAAAAGAATTTAGAATTTGATGCAAATTAGGGTAAAAAAATATAACGTTTTTACAATTTTTATCAATCCACATTTTTCCGGTAGTAACCATTTAAGACTTTTAAAGTAAAATAAACAAATGTTGTAAGCCCTTCAAAGTAAATGTTTTCTCCAGTTTTACCGTTAATAAATTTCGTCCATTTAGCTTATATTTTTAGAATACATTAGTTTGTTACCATCAATTTTCAAGTAAAAGCATGGTGTCAAAAATTTTTTATTCAGACTTAAATGTGTTATAACAAGTCATTGATTGCCTTTTTTAACGTGAAGGGAAAGAAGATTCGATCTTTTGCTGGACTTGAGATATATCACTATCCGAAAGCTCCTTGTCCATTGCGATATCTTGGCCGAATTTACCTTCTTTCCATTTGCCATTAATTCTGTAGTAAAACTTTTCCCCTCTTGGTAAATAAGCAAAGAAGTTCGTCTCTAGATGACCCACCAAAACTGAACCGTCACGTCCTTCCATTACGTTACTTTGATTTCCATTTTCCAAACATTGTAACTCAAACCATCTTTTTTGGTTTTTAGCCAGAAGTGTAATGGATACTTCCTCTTTGCAATTGGCATTATTTTCCCTCGACCGTTTCATTTCTACTTCAAAGAATGTAAGTCTGTGATTCGATCCTTCATTCTCTAAAAAAATAATAATAAATAAAATAAAAACTGAACATAAAATGTGTTGTTATATGTATTGCCCTCTCATTTGTTTGTTTTAACTGAAACTTTTTCTAATATAAGAGACAGTTAAACTTAGATATGACAAACAGCTGTACATTATACTGCCACACTAAATTAAAAACCAACAAATCATACTTCAGATTTTGGCACTGAAATAATTTAGAATGAAACAAATATTTAATAAGTCTTTGTTCGATTATTTAGTTTTTGTAAACAATATAATTTCATATGTCTATCAAACTACACTGCTCTTGGCTATGAGTTATGTTTAATCTTTCTTGTTTTTAATTATTGCTGTGGTGTGAATGAAATCCCAGAATTGAACATTTACAACAATGCGTTGCCAATATCCTATAGCATTTTGTTTCTAAATGACAAATCAAATATTTATTTTCTGTATTTTTTTTACTCACGTATATTGGAATATCCAATGTTCTGTTGATCAAATGCTAGAAGCAAAAACAAAATCTTAAAAGAAAAACAAACTTTAACTAAAAAACAAAATCGGTTTAAGGAAATGATCTTGTGTTTCTCCTAACTTTTTAATTTTATATTTTCTATGTGCGTGTTTATAAAAAAACATTTAAATGATTTCTCTACAAAGTAGTTTATTTTTTAACTTCCTCGTCTGGTAGAATAAAAGCGTTTGTTAAAAACACGCTAACCGTCGTGTTCTTAATCATACCAAGAGTTTGCTTCTTAGTTCTCAGTTGTATACAGATTTGGCAGTGTATATTAAATAAAACAATTTTCTCTTGAATATTAAAAAAATTCAATGAAAATATTTTAATTATATATAACCAAAATCTTACAATTTCGTACAATATTTTTTCCATAAATAAAGAAATATATTGAAAAAAGTGTAATTGTTATATTAGTTCAATAATATGTAAACTCTTACCTTCATGGAAACGAGGATCGTTGAAATTGTCCATGCCTACAAACGAAATTACTGTCTTAGAACGAAAGCATGAATAAAAACGAAAACCACATGTCATGAATGGCATGCATTACTTTAGGCTTATCTTACGAAGTTTAATTGTAACAGGATAATTTCCATTGTCAAAGCAATATACTAACTATACTTGAATAGTTTAATCGATAGTAAAAGTTAAATCAATTACAAAATTTCAACCCAACAATAAAACACAGATTTTTTCGTATATGTTGTAAATCGAACTCACCTGCATTTGGAAATTGAGGCCCAAAGCCTGGAAAAAAAACAATATTAGAAGAAAACCAGACATTATTACAGAAGTCTACTGTCTGTTATAACCCACACGTAACCCTTAAGTTTATTCAGTTTATATTAAGTTCATATTTAGTTTATATTAAGTTAAAAAAAGTATAATTGTTGTATTAGTTCAATAATTTGTAAACTCTTACCTTCATGGAAACGAGGATCGTTGAAGATGTCCATGCCTACAAAAGAAATTACTGTCTTAGAACGAAAGCATGAATAAAAACGAAAACCACATGTCACGAATGGCATGCATTACTTTAGGCTTATCTTTATTGTAACAGGATAATTTTCATTGTGAAAGCAATACAGGGTGATCAACTCAAGGAGGCCACCATTGGGATATCGGAAACGGTTAGAATTAGAGAAAACTTTAAATGGGGGACATTCCTTTATTTTTTGTGGCAGTTAAAAATATGATTTCATTTTTTCGAAATTAAGCCGCCATTTTCCAAAATGGTGGCCAACTTTGAAATTTCTTATAAAACACCCTATATTTTGTCATGTTTTCGGATAGAATAGGCAATTTTAAAACTTTTTTATTCTTGACATTTTTTTGATAAACCTACTTGTTTAGGAGTTACAGCCTATGGAAAAATGACTTCCGGTGTACATTTTACATTATGTAGCTCCTAAACAAGTAGGTTTATAGCGAAAATGCGAAAAGTAAATAAGTCTTAAAATTGCATCCACATTCCAAAAAGACCATAAAATTCGTTAAAACTATTAATTATTCTATTATTTCAAAAATGGCGGTCATTTTCCAAAATGGCGGCAAACTTGATGTAGTGTATCAGCTGGTGTTATCTTCACATGTTTTAAGATGAATAATTAATTGTCGATATGTTTACAGTTCAGTTGTTTGTTTACTCTCATAGAATACACATCATGTTTTCAAAATAGTTATTCTATTAATATAATAAACCACAACACTACAATGGCGCAGTCGAAAAATATTGATTTTAAGTGTAGCTCATTTGACGGGACGACCGAAGATTGGGTTTACTGGTATGAACGATTGAAGATCGGATTAAGGAACGAAAACGTCAAGAATGAAGACAAGAAACGAGAAATTTTACTAGGACACTTAGGCCCACAACCTTTCAAAATTGTATTCGACTCGGTGCATCCTACACCCGTAAGTAATATTTGATTCAATGACGCTGTAGAAATCTTAGATAAATACTACACCAAACAAACCCCTCCTCTTTCACAAAGAGTAAGATTTTCAAGTAGATGCATTACTCTAAAATATTTTATTAAGTTTAATTTTGTACGGGACAGTTTTCATTGTGAACCTAAGCAATATACCAACTATAGTTAGAAATGTTAATCATAAAAAAAACAATTTCAACTGAATAATAAGGCGCTGATTTTTTAATAATAGTCTCTTATGTAAAAAGATCTCACCTGCATTGGGAAAAGGATTTATAAAGTCTAAAAAAAAAACAATATTAGAAGAAAACCAAATGTTATTGCCAATTACTGTCTGCAATAACCCGCGTGTAACTGTTTATTATGATAAATAAGCCAGCTCAATGTCTTAGAATGCAAACCTGAATAAAGACAAAACCATATGTCATAAATGTCATGCATTGCTTTAAAATATTTTACTAAGTTTAATTTTGCACGGGGCTGTTTTCATTGTGAACCTAAGCAATATACCAATTATAGTTAGAAATTTGAATCATAAAAAACAATTTCAACTCAATAATAAGGCGCTGATTTGTATAATGGTCTATTATGTAAAAGATCTCACCTGCATTCGGAAAAGGTCCACCTGCATGTCCAAAGTCTGGAAAAGGCTGTCCAAAGTCTGGAAAAGGCTGTCCAAAGTCTGGAAAAGGCTGTCCAAAGTCTGGAAAAAAACAATATTAGAAGAAAACCAAATGTTATTACAAAAATCTACTGTCTGTTACAACCCAGACGTAACTCTTTAAGTTGATTTCTTACTTCTCGGCTAGATGGTTTATTATGATGAATATTTAAACCAACTCACTGTCTTAGAATGAAAACATAAATAAAGACAAAAACCACATGCTATGTATTACATGTATTTTACAATTTACTTTCTACTGGATTGTTTTCATTGTTAACCTAAACAACATACTAACAGAATTTAACAATATTGCCGTAAACAATTTCAACCTAACAAAAAAAACTGATTTTTTCGTACATTTCGTAAATAGAACTCACCTGCATTGGGAAGTGGATGTCCAATATCTGTAAAAAAAAAAAACACAGTGCTAGAAGAAAACCAAATGTTATTACAAAAATCTAGTGTCTGTTATACTGGTTAAATTGTACGCAACTCTTAAGTTTATTACTTACTTCTTGGTTATTTAGTTTATAATTGTGACGCTTGCGTCACAGAGGACCGCGTCATACCGCAAATCAGATGATAGCTTGAGAACTTGGGGAGGATATAGGAAAGGTCGTGAGAGGAGTTGGGTGCCAGGAGTCACCCGAGCATCCGTGCTGGACGCCGGTCTACAGTTGGATCAGTTTTACCACTAGAATTAATATTTCTACAATGTTCTAAATCTTTCAGGAAAGGGGGGGATTAAGGGGTGTAGGGAACTATTAACTACACCAGCTTAATATGTAAATTATACTTTTCAGCACACTCGAAGTTTTACGTTTTCTTAGCTTATTATTTAATCAGATGTATTAGAAATATTGGATCATCGAAATGGTTGTGATATGGATGTGTTTTAACTCAGTAATTAATTTAAGTGTATTATTATTCGCCTTAGAATATCACACGCATCTATAAATTGAACATATTAAGCCTTAACGATCCTTATGAGTCCAGTACCGTTACTATAAATATTAGTACACGCTTCATTATGATGAATATGTAAACCAACTCACTGTCTTAGAATGAAAACATGAATAAAGACAAAAACCATATGTCATGAATGACATGAATTACTCATATTTTACTAAGTTTAATTTTGTACGGGGCAGTTTTCATTGTGAACCTAAGCAGTATACCAACTATAGTTCGAAATTTGAATTATGAATATACAATTTCAACTCAATAATAAGACGCTGATTTTTTTATAATATTCTATTTTGTAAAAAGATCTCACCTGCATTAGGAAAAAGATGTCCAAAGTCTGGAAAAAAACATTATTAGAAGAAAACCAAATGTTATTACAAAAATCTACTGTCTGTTATAACCCGTACGTAACTGTTAAGTTTATTCCTTACTTCTCGGTTAGATAGTTTATTTTGATGAATATATAAACCAACTCAATGTCTTACAATGAAAGCATGAATAAAAACAAAAACCACATGACATGAATGACATGCATTACTCTAGGTTTATCTTACAAAAATTTTAAATTTTTTAAAATTGACAATTGTTAAATTGGTTATGTTTAAATGTTACAGGATAATTTTTATTGTGAAACTGAGCAATATACTAACTATAGTTGAACTGTTTAATCGATAATAAACAGTTTAATATAAATAAACGATTTCCCCCAATAGTAATACGCTGATTCTTTCGTATATTTTGTAATTAAAACTCACGTGCATTGGGAAGTGGATGTCCAATGCCTGAAAAAAAAACAATATTAAAAGAAAACCAAATGTTATTACAAACAATCTACTGTCTGTTATAACCCGTACGTAACTCTTAAGTTTATTTCTTACTTCTCGGTTATATGGTTTATTATGATAAATATTAAAAAAAAAACAACTCACTGTTTTAGAATGAAAACATGAATAAAGGCAAAAACTACATGTCATGAATGACATCTAATACTTTAGAATATTTTTATAAGTTTCCTTTTTACTGGATGATTTGTGAAACTTGTTAGAAAAGTAATATTTCTCAACTTGTCTTTACATCATCACCTGATCAAATATTAATTGTCCTGTTTACCTTTTGTATGTTATGGTTTTGGTGTAATTTGTTAAAATGATGTATCAATAATTTGTTTAGTATAAAAACGTTTTCCATTATATTTCTGGGCTATTTATTACATTAACTATTAGGTTATGGGCCTTTTACAATTTGTAAATGTAAATTTTGCCATTGTAAATCCTGAAAGTAAGATATTTTCAACATAACAATTTCCCTTCTATTTGTTGATGTGATATCATTGGTATTATTCATCATAGTGGAGTATCTTTTAAAATGGGGGAAAGAGACATGAAAATAGGAATAGAACTGCTTGAAGGAGTTATCTATCAAATGATGATTCAGAGAGTAGAGCCATAACTGAGAATGATATTAATGATGACATAGCTGAGGATGTATCAAATCTAGAAGAGGACATGTGTATAACAGATGACACAATATCAGAACCTGACACAGAAAACAGAGAATCAAGCCTTGAAGAAGAAAAGCGAGAATCAAGTCTTGAAGAAGAGATGTACACAACAAATGATCCTGAAGCAATCCCAGAGGTGAGAAGATATCCACAAAGAACACGGAAACCAAAGGACATGGGACCATTTGAAGTATATAATGTGGTTCATGATCATACACCAACCAGTGTATTTGAAGCATTAAATGGGAAAGATAAAGATCTCTGGGAAAAAGCAATGAAAGAAGAATATCTTTCGTTCAAAGAAAATGATGCTTGGAGTTTGGTAGACTTACCCAAAAGAACAAAACCTGTCAAGAGTAAATGGATCTTTAAGATCAAGAGAGACAGTAATGGAGACATAACAAACTACAAGGCTCGGCTAGTAGCAAAAGGGTTTACACAAAAGTATGGTGTTGACTACAAAGAGACTTTTTCTCCTGTTGTGAGAAACTGCACTCTCAGAATGTTGATGGCTCTAGCAACAGAAATGGATCTAGATATTCATCATTTAGATTTTTCAACTGCTTTTTTGAACGGACATCTAAAGGAAACTGTGTATATGCAACAACCTGAAAACTTTGTTGTACCAGGCAAAGAAGACAAAGTATGTTTATTAAAACGGTCTATCTATGGTCTTAAACAGTCATCAAGAACTTGGTATGAGAAAATAAATCAAGTACTTACATCTTTAAAATTCAAAAGATTGAATTCTGAACCTTGTGTCTATCAAAGAAGAAGTGGCAATAGTATGACAATAATTGCACTGTATGTTGATGATTTGTATGTATTTTACAATAACAAAGATGAAAAACTTCAAATTATTGAGCAACTAATGAGTACTTTTAAAATGAAAGATCTAGGACCAGCTCAAAATATCCTAGGAATGAGGATGGAGAGAGGAAATGACTTTTTGTGCCTAGATCAGTCAGTTTACATTCAAAATATATTGGAAAAGTTTAAGATGACTGATTGCAAACCTGTGAATACTCCAATAGAGGCTGGATTATACCTAGAAAAGGATAAATCGGGAAGTGAATCATATCCTTATCAAGAACTTATAGGAAGTTTGATGTATCTAGCTGTCAACTGTAGACCAGATATTGCACATGCAGTTAGTTATCTTAGCCAGTTTAATAGCTGTTACGGGAGTGTGCACTGGAAGGCAGCAAAGCGTATCTTGAGATACCTAAAAGGAACTATTGAGAGAGGTATTGTGTACAAAAAATCAGGGAGTCTTGAGATGGAAGCATACGTTGATGCGGACTGGGCTAACGACAAAGAAGACAGGCGTTCTTATACGGGATATATTTTCAAGTTAGCAAATGGACCTATAAGCTGGGAGAGCAGGAAACAACGCACGGTGGCATTGTCAAGTACAGAAGCAGAGTATATGGCACTTAGTGATGGAGCAAAAGAAGCTAAATTTCTGCGAAGTCTGTTGAAAGAACTCTTAGGGAAGAAGGATGCGATTGTAATTTACAATGATAACCAATCCGCCCAAAAACTATCAGTAAACCACATGTTAAATCGCAGAACAAAGCATATTGACATACGAAATCGTTTCATAAGAGAAGCTGTGGAACAAGGGGACATTATTCTAAAGTATAAGCCAACAGCAGAAATGCCAGCAGATATTTTGACAAAAGGTGTTCCTGGCCCACGACATCAAGAGTTAAGTGCAATTAATTGGACTGGATCAAGTTGATAAACATTAAGGGGTGGTGTTAGAGAAGTAATATTTCTCAACTTGTCTTTACATCATCACCTGATCAAATATTAATTGTCTTGTTTACCTTTTGTATGTTATGGTTTTGGTGTAATTTGTTAATACCCCCGCCGCAGCAAACCTGCAGACTAAGCGAATTTCCATTTGACTGATTGGATTTACACTGAAATGTCTACTTAAAAATATAACATTTATTGCCTATTTAAATAGAATTAGTTTAAAAAGTACTTAGGTTTGCTGCATCAGGGAGGGTAAAACTGTTTTTTTTTTGTAAAATGTTAATAGTTAGTAAGAAATAAAAACATTTTCCAAATCAATAATTTGTTTAGTATAAAAACGTTTTCCATTATATTTCTGGGCTATTTATTGCATTAACTATTAAAACTAAGCACCATCAACAACAATAACATAACATATGGTTTAATTGTTCAACAAAATTGAACATTTAAACCATAAAAATCAATTTTAACCTAGTAATAAGAAGCAGATTTTTTTTATTTTATAAACAGATTTCACCTGCATTGGGAGGATGTCCAAAGCCTGCAAATAACAAAAAACAATATTAGAAGAAAACCAAATGTTATTACAAAAATCTACTGTCTGTTATAACCCGTACGTAACTCTTAAGTTTATTTCTTACTTCTCGGTTATATGGTTTATTATGATAAATATTTAAAAAAAACAACTCACTGTTTTAGAATGAAAACATGAATAAAGGCAAAAACTACATGTCATGAATGACATCTAATACTTTAGAATATTTTTATAAGTTTCCTTTTTACTGGATGATTTTCATTGTGAAACTAAACAACATCAACAACAATAACATAACATATGGTTTAGTTGTTCAACAAAATTGAACATTTAATCCATAAAAATCAATTTTAACCTAGTAATAAGAAGCAGATTTTTTTTATTTCATAAACAGATTTCACCTGCATTGGGAGGATGTCCAAAGCCTGCAAATAACAAAAAACAATATTAGAAGAAAACCAAATGTTATTACAAAAATCTACAGTCTGTTATAACCCGTATGTACCTCTTCAGTTTATTTCTTACTTCTTGGTTAGATGGTTTATTATGATGAATATTTAAACCAACTCACTGTCTTAGAGTAAGAAAATGAAAAAAAGACAAATACCACATGTCATGAATGTATTACTTTAGAATTTAATTTTACTTTTTACAGGATTATTTTCATTGTTAACCTAAGCAATATACTAACCTAATAATAAGAAGCAGATTTTTTCGTATATTTCGTAAATCGAACTCACCTGCATTGGGAAATGGATGTCCAATTTCTGAAAGAAAAAAAAACAGTGCTAGAAGAAAACCAAATGTTATTACAAAAATCTACTGTCTGTTATAAGCCATACGTTACTCATTATAACATCTCTATTTACTCGTGATTACCTACTCACTTTTTGGTTACAAAGTCATTTATCTGGGGAAAAAACATTTTTCGCTGTTACTTCTTAAAGGCTACTACTTCGGATCCTGGTCACTGCCGAAAACATTTTATCAGTAGGCCTACAGTTCACCTTTGTACTCTACCTGAACCTAACTCTACCTAATCTAACCTAATCTCTCTAATCTAACTCTACCTTTGGACGGGCAAATGAAATGTTAAAAGAGGCTGCCACCCTAAAAAAAAATATTGATATATTTATTTATGCTTAATAAATAAAAACGAAGTAGGCTTTTTTAATTCAAGCAGCTTACTTGTACTTAATTTTTACAGGTTGAATCCTCTAAATTTATATAATCTATTTTTAACGATGTAGTTATTATAAAAAATCTTACCTCCATTGGGATATGGTTTGGTAGGAAGTTCTCCTACACCTAAGAACAAAAAACAAAATATAAAAAAAACACCAAAATGTGATTTCTGAAAATACGATCTGTTGTGGTCTGCATACAATATTATTATTGCTTTTCTTTCTTGATTGTCAGTAGAAAAAATATTATCATGATGCATATATGAACCGATTTTATAAATTGTTACTAAGAAAATAGAGATACATAAGAGTAAAGTATGTATAAAGGTATATAGGCCTATTTTGGCAAGAATAACAACCCGTTTTTTGCAACCCTCCATGCTCTTATATATTCCACAGTAAAACATGTTTTATACGATCATTTATCATAAATACATCAAACATTTATATAACTGCAAGCAAATTAAATTTTAGTGTCACCTATAGCAACTTTACAATTCGTTCAAACGTGTATTATTGTAATACTTCATCATATATATTTTCTATAAGAATGACAAACACCAAATTCAAGGATTTGGTAATTTCAGTAAAAAGTTGTATTATATCTCACCTTGGTTCAAGTTTTGCTCAGGGGGTGAACCAGTACCTACGAAAAAATACCAGTTTAAAAGAAAAACGTAGATTTAACCAAACACTAACTGAGATCCAGTCCCTGCATGAATTACTTCAAATGCCTTGTTTATCTTTTAGTTACATTCTAACTTAGAAATTTGATTATAATTTATATGTAAATTAAACCCCTGAAGCCCAATTATTTCATATAGTAAATAAAACAAACTAATAAACTAATTATCTACATCTCGGAATTTCCCTGAACTTCAACAGGCAAAGTGGACTTGGACCACCCTTTTGAAAAACAACTTTTTGTCCATTTGCTGGAGGTTTGCCTTATGTAGAACTAAATGATTATATATTAAACATTTCTTAATCACAGAGTTCCTACTCTAAAATTATTATAACAAAAACTGCATGCACCATATTTTCATTAAACCTGCATTATGGGTATTTATATTTCTTTTCCCTAAAGTTACTTGACAAAGAGGGCTTTCTTAATAAATAAAACTTTAGTCTTAGTTAAACTTTAAACTTACTATAGTAGTTTTATTTAGTCCGTGACAGTGATAACACAGTGCTGGCCAGCCTTTACATTTTTAACCATTTTTATCACTTTTTATTAAATTTTAATAATTTGATCAACATGACTAGTTTTTATTATTGTGATTCTGACAGTGTTTTAAAGAATCTTTTGACATACCACAATGTATTAGTACATTGATGATGTGGTTGCATACAATGACCTGACGATGTTCTAAGGAACGAAACTAGTTGTCATACCAGCAACTGTGGTTGGATAAGGTAATTCTTCTATTTTATCAATTATATATTCCAACCAAGGGTCACAATAAATAACAAAAGATTTTGGTTATAATGGAGTAGTGTTGTGCTAAATCTTACCTTCATTTAAATTTTGCTTCAAGGGTGGTTCTGTGCCTACGAATAAAAATACTTCAATAGAAAAACATAGGTATAACCAATCACTAATTGTCATATATTGCGTAAACAAATGCCTTCTAAGTATCTAATTTGCCTTTTGATTAAAGTCTAACATGGAATTTGTTGGTTCATAATTCGGTGTTATTCATGTGTTGTAAAAAAAATCACTTTATAAAACAGCCATAAATTATGAGCAAACTTTAACTGCCATATATTAACTGCAAGAATTACCCTTAAGTTTCTTATTTACTTTTCGACTACTCGGTATTTTTTAATGTTTGTATTATGTTGTGGTACTATGATATCTAATCATATTTGGCCTATAATATTTTGTTTTTGGACGGATAAACGTAAAGCCCTCACTGACTCACTGACCTACTGGTTCTCCACTAATTCTCTAACTTCAACACTACCTAGGAGCCTGAAATTTTATATGACCATTATTCAGGTAGTAATAAATGGGATATTAGAATAGTGTTTATAGAAATTTTACAAAAAGGTTACGCCCTAGTAGCCCCCCTAACTGGACTCAGATCAAGCAACAGTTCCGATATTTTTATGATGATATTTATGGAAAATTACTATTAAAATGTAATAATGAAAAAGTGGCCATAAAAATTTGGCCCTGGCATAACATATGACCCTGACATACTCTATGGCTAATAGTAGTTTTTTGTGATATGATCCATGGTCAATGTTTCTGATAAATGTGCTTTAAAATAAAGTTGAAGAAAATAGGATGAGTGGTGGCAAACGAAGAGTGGCTTAATCAGTTAATCCAAATCTTAAATAGCCCCATAGTTTGTGATCACCCCGAGAGTGATTTTTTGTACAAATCAATAAAAATCAACAGTACTTTCCAGATGACTTAGTTTGGGACAAAACAAATGTTGAAAGCATAATATCTTATAGTAATAAGTACTTGAATAAGTAATCAATTACTAGTGTATTTCCACCATAGGATGATGATCCCTAAGATGTATAGCTATATCACAGGTGATATATTTAGTTTGCAATTAAAAAGTTTACCTGTGCAAAAATCGGGTAAAACAGCTAGTTTATTAATAAAGAAAATTATTTTTGTCATCCTACAGTAAGGTACTTTTTGTTTTCACATTTTTCGTTGCAAAAATCTCACCTCCATTAGCATTCCCTTGGCTGGGCAGTCCAAGTTCTAAAATAAAAAAAAACTCATGTAACAGAACAAATTGTATGAACAAAAGTACTCTCTTTTATGAAAATCATTAACTGCTCTAGAGTTTGTATTTCATACATTATGGCAAAATAACTTACCGATATGCTCTTCATTGATTGAACTCACCTTCATTCCGCTTTTCTTGTTTCGTCGGCAGTCCAATATCTAATATTAAACACAAGGATTAGTAAAATATATACAAGAACATTAACTGTGAAAAGAATAACTATTAATTTGTTTCCCCACTTATTGGCTATACACATAAAAATGTATTTATTCTAGTATTTTTAAACAACATATTTGTCCTATCACAACATGGAAATTATCACATTACCACACCTGTAAATAGTAAACAAGATAGTTCTGTTCAACTGTATTCACTATCCTTCATGTTTGTGAGCAGTCCAGCATCTATAGGGGGTTGAGTATGCACTGAAAGTGTAACTCTTTTTGACTTTTGATTGTTGTTGGGGGCATCTTGGAGATGACAAAAACCGATGTTGTCACCCTCCCAGCAGGTGCACAACTTGGCGGGGGGAGGGGGGGAAGGTGCTCAGAGGCGCGTTCTAGAAAATCGCTTATATCTCGAGAACTATACACGATAGAAATAAGCTCTAAACGGCATTGTATTACCAACTTCATCTGCTTTAAAAAAATACCCAGGAAAAGTCCAGTATCTATGATATTAGTTGAGTTATTTAACAATTTATTTAAAATTTTGAATAAAAATCCCTAAAAAACGTTAAATTATCCATTAAAACCCCTTTAAAACAACAAAAGTACAGTTTTTCATCGTGCATAATATGTTTTACACGCTAAAGTGACTTTATATGGTAATTATATCGAAATATTACAAGGTTATGCGAGGTTTCTGATGAAGCGGCACGGTGACGCGGGTGAGGCCGCTGCGCGGCAGAAATCAACGTGTAGTACAGACTTGTAAACATTGGGTATGTACCGAAAGTGTAACGCATTTTGACTTTTGATTGTTGTTGGGGGCACCTTGGAGAGGACAAAAACCGATGTTGTCGCCATTCCATCAGGTGCACAACTTGGTAGGAGGGGGGGGAAGTAGCGCTGAGGCGCGTTCTAGAACATCGCTCATATCTCGTGAACTATACACGATAGAAACATGTTTTAAACGGCATTGTATTACTAACCGCATCTGCTTTAAATATTTTACAATGAAAAATCCCATATCAATGATAAACATTGAGGTATTTAACATTATATTAGAAATTACAAATTTAAAGTCAAAATACCGTTTATCTACCTATAAAACTCTCATAAAACAATGAATATTACTGTGTTTAGAGTGCATTCTAAGTTCAACACACGAATTACAAAAATATAAATCTACTGTACTTTCCTTAAAATAATAAGTACGGAGTTCTCGAGTTTGCGAGAAAATAATTATAAGCTGTTTTTAACACTAGGCGATTTTAAATATAAAATTTAAACAAAAATCTGGGTACAACTACCAAAGAAAATGCTTAAGTTTGAAATCCATACAGTTTTTATTAAAATAATATTAAAATAGACTTGGAAATGCTGTACTTCATTTTAAAACTTACTACCATGTAAACTACACATAAGAAGACAATGGTTACTATTTCAGTCATCTTGTTTGAAACGGTCTTAATGATAAGGATTTTTACAATTATTAAAACATTTGCAGAAGGAGCAGCAGTATTAAGAAGAAAAGGAAGCACCTGCAATGACAGCAGCTATATAGCAATCACAACTAATCCATCTGCCGTCAAGGACAATAGTAAAATGCCTTGCATACCGGACGGCTTCAAATTCCACCTGTTAAGGTGTAGTGCCCAACTATATTTTTGGGAAAAGTCCTTGACAGCAGAAATAGAGCCTTTAGATCTATTCCAGTACGGATTTTTCAAAGACAGCTCAGGAAAATTGCGCCCTCTTCTTATGACAATGCCCCCGGCTCCTACAAATTTGCTAAAGCCATGTAAATGCAAGACTTGTTCTAGATCAACTTGTAGCTGCTTTTCAAACAAGTCATCCTGCAGATCCTACTGCAAATGTTTTTAAAATTGTAGAAATTCTCAGGGCCGGATTTCCCAATAGGCCCGGTAGGCCCGGGCCTATGGGCGCAAGGTCCCAGAGGGCGCACGGCCAAGAGGAATTTTTTATAGGCTATCTAAAAATAAAAATAAATAGTCATAGATGATAAAAAAACTTCTGAAGTTCAAAAGAAGAAATTATTTTTATGAAATTTAAAATATTTTTCAGAATTACGCATCAATTTCGTTACAAAGTTGCTAACGAACATTGGTTATACGGGAGTAGGTTGACGAGCGCAAGGGGTACGCATCGTATTGCCATTGCACTTGGCCACTATGCTGGCTCAGGCCCGGGCTCGGCATTACTGATCATAGTGATAAGGGGCGCAAGCGTGCTAGACATTGTTACCACCCTCACTTTACAAAACAAAAGTTATTAACTAATCTTTTGATTAGTTTACAACAATCTGCAGGATCAAGTTATAATATATAATACGCTGTGTTGAATATTGAAACAACGATTAATTTACGTTTAAATTTAACAAAAAATATTAATCTCCGTTTGCATTAGATTTTAGAAACATTCAATACCCTCAAAAGCACCATTAAAGCTGTCATTTTCCCCTCAGACCTAAGGATCGGTATGGTTGGCAGGAGTATTGCTCTGTTTTGCTTTGGAAATATAACCTAGATGCAGTACGACCATAGATTAAATATAGCTCAAGTCGACTTCTTATGACATTGTTAATTCAAAATTGTTTCATGTATAGTTCATGTTGGTGATACTGGACGTTAGTTTTGTTTCTATTTTTTTAGGGTTAGTTCTATGATGTGTGTTTTAATTTCTTGTAATATAAACAGGAGATGACATATTGTTGATGATTAGATCGTTTTATTTTGGATAAGCTAGGTTTAAACATAGATAAAACATACTCCTTAAATAACAAGAATTGTTTTCAGCTAATCCAAAATTATGACAAATCTACTAAAGGAGTAGACTAAGTTTAATCTATGGTATCACGTACTGTATGGAGTTCAGGTTTTTGGGCCTGGAATTGGAATCAATGACCATGTTTTTTTTTTTTTTTTCAGGAATTCTCGGTGGTTTGAGTTGTTTTGTTTCAGTCCCACGGCCACAAACGTGAGCATTTATTAAACGCATAAAATTGCTAACAGTGTTTAAGACGGCATTTTGTTAAGGCTAAATAAGTCAATAAAAAAAAAAAAAAAACTGGCAATGATTCCGGCGAGGAGTGGTATTCAAGCAATTAACTTAGGCCTATGGGCATGATATAGTTTTTAATAAAGGTTTGAAGGAAAGTAACTGTGACCAGACTAGGGGGCGGAAAATTATTTGGGCCTAGGGGCGCAAAAATGCTAAATCCGGCCCTGGAAATTCTTATCTTTAAGATCGTTTCAAACAAGATGGCTGAAATAGTATCCATTATTTTCTTATGTGTAGTTTATATGGTAGTTAAGTTTTAAAATGAAGTACAGCATTTCCAAGTATATTTTAATATTCTTTTAATAAAAACCGTATACATTTCAAACTGAAGTATTTTCTTTGGTATTTGTACCTAGATTTTTGTTAAAATTTTATATTTAAAATAGCCTAGTGTTAAAACAGCTTATAATTATTTTCTCGCAAACTCGAGAACTCCGTACTTATTATTTTAAGGAAAGTACAGTAGATTTATATTTTTGTAATTCGTGTGTTGAACTTAGAATGCACTCTAAACACAGTAATATTCATTGTTTTATGAGAGTTTTATAGGTAGATAAACGGTATTTTGACTTTAAATTTGTAATTTCTAATATAATGTTAAATACCTCAATGTTTATCATTGATATGGGATTTTTCATTGTAAAATATTTAAAGCAGATGCGGTTAGTAATACAATGCCGTTTAAAACATGTTTCTATCGTGTATAGTTCACGAGATATGAGCGATGTTCTAGAACGCGCCTCAGCGCTACTTCCCCCCCCTCCTACCAAGTTGTGCACCTGATGGAATGGCGACAACATCGGTTTTTGTCCTCTCCAAGGTGCCCCCAACAACAATCAAAAGTCAAAATGCGTTACACTTTCGGTACATACCCAATGTTTACAAGTCTGTACTACACGTTGATTTCTGCCGCGCAGCGGCCTCACCCGCGTCACCGTGCCGCTTCATCAGAAACCTCGCATAACCTTGTAATATTTCGATATAATTACCATATAAAGTCACTTTAGCGTGTAAAACATATTATGCACGATGAAAAACTGTACTTTTGTTGTTTTAAAGGGGTTTTAATGGATAATTTAACGTTTTTTAGGGGTTTTTATTCAAAATTTTAAATAAATTGTTAATTAGCTCAACTAATATCATAGATACTGGACTTTTCCTGGGTACTTTTTTAAAGCAGATAAAGTTGGTAATACAATGCCGTTTAGAGCTTATTTCTATCGTGTATAGTTCTCGAGATATAAGCGATTTTCTAGAACGCGCCTCTGAGCACCTTAACAAGTTGTGCACCTGCTGGGAGGGCGACAACATCGGTTTTTGTCATCTCCAAGATGCCCCCAACAACAATCAAAAGTCAAAAAGAGTTACACTTTCAGTGCATACTCAACCCCCTATAGATGCTGGACTAAATAGTCAATCGGCTAAATCAGCTGAAAAAGTAACGTCCGGTGAGCAAATAGCATTAATTTTCATTGCATACGATGCTTTCGTAAACAAGTGGTGAATCAACTGAGCAAACTCAACGTGGTGGGTCAAGAGTAATACTTAAATACTTTTTTAATACTTTTTATTGAAATGGCAACCATACAAAGTATTTTTTTTAGCCAAGTATGAATTGAGATGAGTGTAGGATGAGTGTTGCGATCTTTTAGTCTTGTTAGTGACTAAGGCCAACATATTCCTGTACAAACAGCTTTTAATGAATAGCCCATTCAGCAAATGATGACTAAAGGACCTACAGTTTATAGTCGAATCCCAACAAAATTGTTGCCTTGGTATTAAAGAATTGGTCTAATTATCAGGATAGTACTGCGGATAGTCGTGGTAGTCACTAGTGCGGTAATACGTTGATTGGAAACTCAATTATGTTTTAGAAGGCTTCCGTAGCCCCTATTGGTCGTCATTGGTGCTAGGATCTCGGCCGGCTCGGCATCAGTTTACGCTTTACGGGATTTAGATAGTAGATACTGAATTTCAGGCATGTAATTATCATTATATTAGGACAGGTTAGTAACCTCATTTTATGTCAATAAATCAATCCTGTAGGCAAATTATGTATAAATCATTATATTACATCAAATATGTCATTACATTACGAAGGATGGTAAATGAATTTACAAGCTTATGTGTATGCATTTTATTGCTTACCGTAGGGTATAATTTAAAAAAAACCTTTGAAACAAAGAATACATTTTGGATTCAAAGTAATTTTAGCCTGATATTAACCTGAGAAAAACAGTTTTAAATTATTTTACTTCACTGAGAGTAACCAATGAATTGAAAATATTCCCATACGTAAAAATTTATGTCATTTAAAATCACAAATCTTTTTAAATTAAATGGTTTACTGTGTTTTAGATCCGTACTTCAACCTGACTGTGCAGCCCGGGGATTTATTATACATCGATGTGTGTGACTTCTCCCTGTTGAGTCATCTGAAGACACGTGCTTACAATGAAAAACACGTGTCTAAAAGAATTGAATGCCGCAATCAGGATCAAAATTTAAAAAATCTATAATCATTATGGAAACAAGTTTTCGAACAAGGCTTGAAAATTTGTGTCGTTTCAATGGCCGTAATTTGAGCGATGTAAATGTTCAAAACTAGAAACAAGATAATTTATTTTGTGAATGGCTGTAATAAAAGTTATTTTTATTTTTAAAACCTTTTCTATTTTTAAGACTTTAAGGGCAATTTTTATCCACCCGTTTCCCATGGACGACCCTGTATTTACCCCCGAACTGTATTGTGGGCTACCTTATTACCTAAGATAAGGTAAATGAGTCTTAATCACTAGTACTGCCAAGTAAGAAAATAATATAAATCTAAATCATGGGTGTTGGTGTTGCTTACAGCCAAGTTCAAAGTCCAATCTAGGATCAACCTTTATGATACTACTGTATAGAGCACTTGAATAAAGCAGTAATTTGTAATAGTACATAGTTTTATTGACTATTAACCTACAGGTAGGTTTTTAGTCAATAGTTTTAGCTTATACTGGCCAAAACTCGGTATCAGAGAACACCAGACAAAGACACATTAGTGGTGGAGAGTTTGGTTCACCGGGCTCAGCCAACTTTGGATACGGAGCAATATTTGTGTGTGGTCTAATCGAAGTGGTAACACATACGCAATAGTTATTTCTATCCGAAGTTTACAAAAAATTTTGTTTGCGTTACTTTCTCTTGCTTAAATCAAAAGTCTATAACCAGTTTGTTAATTTGCACTTTTAAACGCATGTTTTATGCATAATATTTTGGCCTAAGCCTTATACCATGAATAAAGCATTGAAAATGAAGTTTGCATGAAGCGTTCATTAGACGAATAGAAGATAGGTCGTTAGATATCTCACCTCCATTAGAGTTTTCTTTGTTGGGCGGTCCAAGAACTAAAAAAAACAATTATAAAACATAATTTATGAATAACCTCTGCTATAACAGTATAAGTAACTTCGGGGTTTTTTCTCACAGTATAGATATTTACCTATTTATCAGTTCATATCTATAGTAGGCTACCTTATTTATAATGACTTATTTTAAAAATTAATTGAAATTCTATAACTATTATGTAAACAACTTTTCAACATTTATTCCTGCAGTATTATTATAACATTGTTTATAGCTAATGGACTACCAACATAGGCTTGACGCTCAGTATTGCGCCTGTTTTAGTATCATTTTACAGTACAGTATATGGATTTTGTGGTTAAGCAGTAAAATTCGTACCTATTAGCAATGTCGCAATGCTAGAGGAAAACAAAATATAACCAACGTAAGTATGAACAATAAAATAATCGTAAACAATTGTTAGATTGCTATATATATAGTACCTAATAATTGTTTTAATCATTATTAAAATGCAAAAAATACATACATCAAAATAACAATAAAAAATACGTAATATAAAATCCAAAATTCATTGAAATACTTTGGTGCAACATAATACATGCAGGATTTACACTGAAATCGTCCTTTATTTAATATGTTGTACAGAGAAACATTCTATGGCAAGTTCGGGAACCGCTAGCACCGACTGTATATAAGCTATAAAAGTACTTATAAATATGTTGTGAGTATTAAGTGTTGTATTGTTACTGTTTACTGAAATTACGTAGCTATTTAATAGTTCTACCTTCATTTTTCTTCAAGCCACTTGAACTTTTCAACCAACTAATAATACCAGCTTCACTTCTGGGAAGATATGAACAGCTCAGCAACTGAAAGCAACATGCTTAAACAATTAGCATAAAACTAACGTTGGCATTACCGAATTTATACTTACCTTTATACTTACATTATGACTACTGATGCTTCTACAATAACTGGGTCTCTTCATAAAAGTAAGCTTTTGTTATAATTTTAATTTTAATAAACAGAACAAGTTCATCAACTATCATGATAAACTTATTTCAAAAGAGTGATGACGAAAATGGTAATATAAAGTTATGGTATACGTTTGATACAACCTTCTGGAAATAATATTTATAACAGAGAACACCATACTTATTATTAATACTATAATGACGAGAAAGGTGAAAGTTTTTGTGTTTGTAAGTTTGTTTGGGGCTTAATTACGCATTAACTACTACTGATCGGATAAGGCCGAAATTTGGCAAGATATTTACATCCCTGATCAACAAATAGCCCTATGCTTATTTCGAAAATTCTATGACAGCTGTTCCAACTAAACATGTTGGTTCTATCATTGTTCTATGATGATCAACGCACCACTATTTTTTTGTTCAAATTTATGACAACAGCTTAATATAAACTAATCAGCGTCAAAAAACTCTGATACACAATGAGAACTGTAGGAATATTTACTGTTATGTTTTATGTTTTTCATACCTTATAGTGAAAAAAATGATTTTTGATATTGTGCGAATAGGGCGTATTTATTTTTTTGTACATATTTCAAACCATATGCCGGTAGGTAACTGATCCAAAGTGATCCTGAATGGTGAAGGACTTCTCTATCGAAATCAACCAGTCCACCACCCCCCCCCCTCCAGTGCTCTTTTGGGGCTAAAGTGAACCAGCAAACCAGTCCCCGTACTTATTGATTGAACCTGTGTTTCAATAACGTGTAAACTACTTATACAATTAAACAGATTTTTCGTGTATAGAGCCAATATACCCCAGTAGTCCACTGTTTTATTTTACGCTCTGCTATGACGGCTTTCACAGATTTTATGTCATTCTTAGGAATACATTTAAATTTTCTAATTAATATAAACAATGTTTTTGGATAGGATTTTGTTAGTGATTTATAAAAAAAATACTGTGGAAATTTATTTTATAAGTTTATAGGTTTTCAGACAGCAGATTACTTATACATAAGCATTCTCTTTAGCGTTCTCTTTCCATTGCGAAGGACGAGAATGGCAGATAGTGTGTTCATAATTTTGCTGTCGCAACATAAAATATGTATGCAAAAGTCAAAATGTTTCAGTTAACGTAAGAGCTCTGTTTTATACCTTAGATATGATAGTTTTACTTATTTTTTAGTTAGGTACTCACAAAAGATAAAAGGTAGAAGGTAGTATGGATATTCATAATGGTGAACATGTACTGTTCCACCAGATGTAGTTCTGCATGTACTGGCAATGGCCTTCTGGAGATAATTATACCAATTAAGAGACGCCTGTGTCGATACATAATCTTTGTTCCAACGGACTTTTGTTGCATGTTTTAAAATGTATTGCAAATCACAGATATATAGTTGAGAGATAGTTGAAAGAAAAATCAACATGTTACCGATATGTCTTTTATTTCAAGTAAGGATTTCTGGAATAATTACCACCCTTGGCTGATATTTATTTTGATCTGTTTGAAAACTCGTTCAACTTCTTTCCCTTCCAGAAAGTTTAATTTGCGTATTTCTTCAGCCGTTTTACTCTCTTCTTCTTCCATTTCCTTATCGTAAGAATTGTTTGCTTCAACCAATCTTTCTTCTTCTCTGGCTTGCATTTTGTCCAAATCGTCAATGTTTTTGTTGTATTTAGTGTCTTCTTCAGTTATGAGACGGTCTGCTGCATCTGAGGTGAGTTTTCCTAATCCTCTTTGGCTATAAATGCTTCTCATCACTGAACTGTGTCTCTGCCACTCATGATTTTTTTGTTGGTTTATTTCGTTTCGGCTTTGTATAATGGTTCCTCTTTCCTGTTGTAGCAATTGTGTAAGTCTATTTCTTTCGTTAAAGAATTTGACTCTGATGGAATTCTTCAAACTTCTTAGCCTCTCGATCTCTTTGTCAGACTCCTCAAAGAACGATAGCCACTTTTTGATCCTCCTTTTCAATTCATCCACCTCAGTTGAAGTCAGTTCTTTGTCGTTAGCATAATCGTTGCCGTACTCCCCTTTCTTCCATTTTCCATCCAGCAGGTATATTACTTCGTTATTATTAGTTGAGAACGCACAAACGTTTTCTTCAGGACCTTCCACTAATAGGAAATCTCCGACGTTCTTTATCATCTTCGGTGAGCCAGATTTCGTACATTTTCCTCTAAGTGACTTATGTTTCTTATCTTTCAAAGAAATTATTATTTCTTCTTCACACTCTCTTGTTTTCCCTCTTTGTTGCTCAATCAACACGTTGTACACTTGTCCAGAACTCGTTTGTCTCACCGATCCTAGAAATCCAAAGAATAAAGGTAAAATATAAATACTTACAAAATAATTATTACATTTTTTACTTTTTAATCTGATAATAAAAGTTTTATTATTAAAAAATGTTCACAACAACTCACAGCATTATGACTTACAACCTTTGTAAAAATGTGGCTAAAACGACTCAAGTAAATGAACACATTATATGATTAACTGCCAAACCGGTTACTTAAATTTATTATAAATTAAAATATTAAACATATCTGTGAGAATCTGTGAGCATGCATTAGATGTCTCTAATTTGTTTTATTGCTCGTAAAGTTGATACTGTAAATTGGATTATTTACCGTTTCCTAAATTGATAACTTTTCTATATGCTCTATAAAATGTATAAATCGTTTGATTTTTAGGTACCTAAACTTATTATATACGTTTTCCAGTACATGATCGAAGCTTTCAAAAGCATCAATTTGCATAGCCTGTAAAACGTATTCAATCATAAATTTAATTAGTACGGAAAAGTGACTGTCCATATAGTTTAGCAAATAACATCTTACCGTTCGTATTAGCTGGGCCGAAAACAAAGTTTGAAGGGCTGCCACCTAAAAACATGAATATAATATAGCAATAAAACACTTCGTGTCAATCTATATGTACTGCGTAGTTGATTGTAGGCTTTCACCATCAAAATAGACTAACGGATCATGTTCTTCAAGGGATGACTATATCGTTCAATTAGTGAAGATAGTGAAGGACGTTTTGGATGGTTACAGCAAGTATACTTGGGGGGGAAATGATTGATGACATTGTTGTTCAATTTTCATTTGAATTTCAGTTTACCTCAAAGATGGAAAGCTCCAACGAATCAGAAACTTGGGCGTTTGATGTATTTGAAACTTCAGGTGAAGATAGTGATCTTCGCTATTTCAACGATACAGGCTTCCCCCGGATGTTCAACTATACATTATGATGTTTGCACTGTTGGTTATTGTAGCAATTTTTATCATTGCTTCGACTGGCCAAACTTTGGTATCAAAGAACATAAAAAAGGCTTATGAGTTAGCCAAGAGTTTGATGTACAGCACACCTTAGCCGCTCACCCAACTTAGGTTATGCAGCAAGAGGTGTTAGCGTCTGGTAAGTGGTAACAAATACCTTTGACTATTAGTAGAACGTCAGTGCACATACGCAACAGTGATTCCTAAGCAAAACTACATATCTGAAATGTTAACAAACAAATATTACAAAAAAAATTATTTGCGTTTGTATCTGGTTAATTCTATTAATCAAAAGTGTAACCAGTTTTTACATCTGCACATCTAGACACATGGGTTGAAGCATAAATATATGGGGGTCAGTTCCATATGATGAAAAAGTATTGGAAACACATTGTGCATGTAGGGTATTTAAATATATAAAAATCAGTAGTGTGGCATCTCACCTTTGCTGGAGTTTTCCTCGTTTGGCGGTCCATACACTAAGAACAAAAACAATTTTACAAGAAGATTTATTATTTAAAATTAAAATATGTTTTACTAAAATAACCTAAGTGGTTCTTTCTTGGAGAATATTACATAATACTTAAAAACCATAAAAAAATACTTTTTTAAAACCTAATTGTTCGATTTAAATTCTGAAATCATATTTACACAGCTTTTAAACATTTATTCCTGCAGTATTATCAAATCAGTAGTATTTATAACTGATGTAATCATTAATACCAAGAGGAAAAGTCTTGTTGATAAGTACAGTATATATTTGCTAATATATAGAGATAAATTTCGTGGTTAAGTAGTAAAAGTTGTAGAAGCAATATAACAACTTTAGAATAAAACGAATGCAATGACCAATAAACCAATCGTTATTTACTTCATGAATTGCTTTATTGTAAATGCTTCTCTAACCATTATTAAAATGAAACATACATTTTTGCAACATAAAACATTCAGGATATACACTTCAATGGTCCTTGTTAGACAAAATCGTTCAATAGCGAAATCGGGAACTACTAGTACCGATGTATAGATATGATAAGGAGTTTTAAGTGTTGTAATTAATATTACAACACTCAAAGGGACGTTTTGGTTTTAAGTAGACCTACATTTACTCAAAATGCGTTCTATTTATTGTTCTACCTTCATTTTTCTTCAAGCCACTACTTGAGCTTTTCAACCATTTAATAATACCAGCTTGACTTCGTGAAGGATGTAAACTGTTCAGCAACTGAAATCAAAATAGTCATTAGCTTAAAACTAACGTTGTCATTGTCTATATATATTTGACATAATAATATTTGTAAATACTGCATTAATCAAGTCTCTTTCACAAGTTATTTAAAAAGAAATATTTAAATAGACTTAACCAGAGCTTTCGACTATCATGATAAAAATCTTTAAAGGAGTGAATACCAAATGGGTGAGTATATAATGTTGTAAGAATACTTTTTATACTGCTACTGCAAATAATGCTTAGAAAACTTGTGTTTATAATTTTGCTCTTGCAACCTTAAATATGTATATATTTGTTTTAGTATATATGAGAGCACTATTTTAAGAAATACCTTAGATATGATAATTTTACTTATTTTGAAGCTAAAATACTCACAAAAGACAGAAGGTATAAGACAGGTTGGATATTCATTGTGGCGAACCTGTATTCTTCCACCGAATGTGGTTTACATTTATTGATAATAACCTTCTGGATGTAATTATACCAATTTAGATACACCACCTCATTATGCTGCGGCAATATGTTAGCTTTGTTCAACGGATTTTGTTATATGATTTACATTATTGTATTATAAACTAAAAGTTAATTGTTTGATGGTTTAGCTGGGATATCTTTTTATCAAACGAAACATGTACCAGTTAGTATACTATTGCTATTCGTGTGTTATTCTGTTTAAAATGTTGGCCTAACCATAGATAAACTTTTGCTTTTATATTGATTGTTTGCCATCGATCAGCATTTTTACAAGCCATAACACAAAACCAAAGAGCACGTTTTTTAGTACATGTTTTTTTGGAAGTATGAAAGTCCCAATGAATAAAGACAGCTGAACTTATTATGAACCATCAAAAAGCTACCGACTACCTAAGATTGGATCGGTAACTTTCTGTGTACTAGGCAATTATTTTACCGCTCAGTTATGGGGATATTTTATTTTTATAATCTCTCTACTATTGTCTGCTTATTGCAAAATTTTACTACGAGGTACCCGGCGATTACCAAACCTTAAATAACATAAACAACCTTCAAGTGTGAATGTGAAGCAGCACGTACAGTTATAGTGGTAATATTAACGTTACAACAAATAACAATATCCCTGCCACAGCAAACCTGCAGATTAAGAGAATTTCCATTTACTTATTTTCTTAAAAATATAAAATTTTAACCAAATTAAATAACCTTAAACTAATTTAAAGAAATGTATTGAAATGTTTGTTAAGCTTAGAATGGAGAAAATTATTTTACTATGAAACACAACTCCGTCAATAATGGATTAATTTTACAAACAATGTGGTTTTAGCTTTTCTCAGTAACCATTAAACGGTAATAACGCATCAACATACAAAACTAATTTTTACATGACCTCTATAATATAGTTAAGAAACAAATTGCAAGAGTTCGTGTTTTAATGGGGGGGAATGGGAAAACCCAATGTTGACTCTATAAATAGGCTCCCTTAATATACCTTGTTCCAAAAGTGCGATCATTCTGGTTCGCAACCCGTTTGAATATACGAAAGGTATGCAGTTTTTTACCAAATTATTAATCACAATTGGATCATTTTTACTCAAGTTATCGTGCTAACGGACACATATAAAAATATATATTGTTACATTCTGGCCTCAGGTTGCTCAGTCTGGGGTGGGTCGATGTATATGAACAGAGTGTTCATCCTTAATTAATCTAAAGTTCTTCATGAAAAGGGCACCACCTAGTTTTAAGCTTCCTAGAAACCAAACTAGGAAATATTCCAAGGAGAAGGAAAATGTGATTAATTTTTAAACAAAGTTACTAAAAAGATATGACAGAGGCTAATATTAAAATAAATGAAATTGACCAAACATACAAGTCTCAAATAATATTTCTATAAAAATTCAACTATTATCAATGACAGCAGAGATTATTATCTTTTCTTTTTATCTACCAACTAAATATGCAATCAAACAAAACTAATATTTTTGATTTGAAACACTATAGCTTCTAAGATAAGGCTACTAGGCAATATGAATGAATACCAAAGATGCTAAGGTTTAACTTTTTGAATAGCCTATATGTTTTGGTCAATACAATCGTTCAAAATCCGTTATCTGCTCGCAACTCTATTTTTTCCAATTACACTTCTATAACTTATTGAATCCTTTTGTAGGTAATAATTAAAAATACAATATTTAAATAAAGTTTAATAGATTGAAAATATCGATTACGATTACTAAACCTATGTATATAACCAGTAAATTTGGTTAGGTTAGGTTTTGAACAGTTTCATCCTATAATTGAAATATTCAGAGACTAACACTTAACTAATCGATGTGTTTTCTCCACTTTATATGAAGTGTGATAAAAAACCTTTTCTAAATTGCCTTTTCCTTTGCTAAATTCTAAAAATTTAATTATTTATTACCTACAAAAGGTATCAATACGTTATGGAAGTGTAATTGAACAAATTTAATTGCCCGCATATAACGGATTCTGCCCAATCTTTATGTTAAAATATTTTTAGTTTTGAGTAGTAAAATACAACTAACATATCTTTGCTTGGAAACATTTATAATTCATCATTACTTTAAGGCAGCAACGTAGGGTGAAAAAATTGTAGAGTAACTATTTGTTTATATTTACAACGTATTTTTTCCTATCACAAACCCGAGTAGGCGGATTAAAATTGTACATTGAAAACCTTGGGTGACGCGGCTGACCAATCAAAACACAGATTTATTATTTACCAGCCAATAGTGTCACAACGTCAGTGACGTCAAAGCCAGCTGTTTGGCAACAGGGATAGTTAGAAGGTTATTTATACAAATCGTTGCAAAATATTTTAGTCGATTCGGACCATAGCATCCTCTATACAAGGTCGCTGCTAAATAAAAAGGACAACACTGCAGTCCCCAGCCTATTGAACAGCCGCTGCACTGGTTTAGAATGAGATTCATAATAGTGGCTGTGTTCGACGCCTTAATTGTATATTGTAATAATCCGGTTTAGGTTTTATTTTTCAATCAGTTGATGGTGTATAGTCGGAACTTCTCATTTAAGTAACTCCGTCAAAGAAAACTACATTGCTGACTTTTCTTTTTGAAAACAGCGATACAGCACTATAATAGTCTATACGTTTCATATATTTAAATGAGCCAATTATAAAACAATAAAAAAATTACAACCAAAACAATAATATGTTATATTTTATGTATATAAGTTATAACAAGCCACTTCCTTCTAAAGAACCATCTTCTCTTTCTACTGGTTTAAATACTCTTAAACATTAATATTAGTAGAACCCTGGCTAATTTATCATTGTTAAGCACAAACATGATACTATAACCATAGATGAATTATTATATTATTTCATCTATGTTAAAACTTAGATGCATTAGATATATTAAATATTTGTGAAACCGGTAATTTCAGTTAAGACTCTGTCAATTCTATCGGTAAAGCCACTTCTTCCCTAATTAAGTTCCCTAATAAAAACTGAATCGAATAGCGCATTCTTGAAGCATGTAGTAAGATGTATTCGAGCGATGGTAATATAACTCCTTTTCAAATTTCAAGGGTTTTTCCTATGATATAAAGTGGTAAAAAAATACTTGCTGAGAACGTACAAACTCAGATAAGTAAGGTACAAAGGAGATACTCCATGGTGTACTTAAGTGGTACCTAGCCTTAGCCCTGGTGCCTAAGGCTAAGTCCATAGAAGATAGTCTTCAGAAGTGTAATCGCTAAATAGTTAAACTATTATTTTTCGTTCTGTACTGTATTTTGTGATTTGCTAGTAAACTGTAGATGGCTTGATATAAGCACATGTAATACGTCTTTTGTTTACTTTGTCCTTGTTATTTGGCTTAACCAACATAGTTACTAGACAACCCATAAGATCAATGTTGAATAAAAAAAAGTTTTAAATGAGTTGTATAGCGAAATACTACTTTTCCTGTGGTGGCTGACGGCAAGCACGTTTTTAGGCCCATAAGGCCCTAATTCCTAAATGTAATCAAAGTCTTTCCGCTGGATTTCGAAATTTAAATTACCGACAGACAGACAGATAAACAGACAAACAGGATATAGGTGACCACACCGTGACGGTTGTTCCAATAATTAAAATGTTATTTATTTATTTTTTTTATGTGTCATGTCAACGGGTGTTTTGTGTTTTCAAATGTAAACGTATGATAAATCGTAGAAACGGATGAACCTGATGATGTGTCAGTTGTCACGAAACGTATAGTTTAACCT